CAGGTGCACAATGCTTTGGGACAGGCCATAGGGTAGCCTTCGCTGCCAGGCCCTGAAGCCCGAACATGATCAACCCAAGTGCGCCACAAATTTCAACTCCCGATTCCACATCCGCATCGCCAGATTCCAGGAACCCGGCCAGCCAGAGTGCCCGAGGCCTGTCAAGCTTGTCCTTGTCTTTTCTGTGGATTGCGCTGCACACGGGCTGCCCTGCAGAGCCGGATGCGTGACGGGCCGGAATGGCGAGAGCTCGCTTGCAGTCTGCGACTGCTTGCCGTAGACCTCTATGATGGCTTTATGACTGCCGAGCCAGCTCTTCTAACGCCCGCATGTGCTCGCTGGCGTACTTGTTGATCTGGAGTGGGTCACGTGACCCCATGTCAGCAGCTCGGAGAATGCAAATCGCAGACTCTGCATACATCACGCTAACACCTGTGAGCCCTGTAGAGGCAAAGTTAGGCGCTGGGTGGGATGTGATGAATACGAGGGCCAGCAATGACAATCACGTGCAATCAGGGCTGCTTTCAGTCGTTTCTTTCGTGGAATGCTCCTCCTCCAGTCACGTTCTGCTGCTGTGTCTTGTTGATGCTGCTGTGTCTTCCCAGCTTGATTTGTGTTTCTCCTCAACCTGTACGCTGTTTTCGAGCTCCAATCCCAGGCTACGAATCCGTGGACCTGGCCAAGCAGGCGGAGCGACAGGATGCTTCGACACTCGAGGTGCGGATGGGGAAACCTGAGGAACAAGCCAAGCACGTCGGCACATGTCGCCATTAGGCCGGGAACCCTAAACCCTAAACCCTAAACCCTAAACCCTAAACCCTAAACCCTAAACCCTAAACCCTAAACCCTGAGTCAGTGGGGCCACGTCAATAGCGCGTTGAGCAGATCCAGCTCACACCGCCGACGCCTCACTCGATGCTCGAAGCATTCGGGATCGGCCTCCACCTGCGGAGCGGTACCCTACTTTCCCCCAAAATATGCCCTTTAAGGGATTGCATATACGGCCCTTTACCCCTCAATATGCCCTTGAGGGGACTCTATTCTCCGACGAGGCCTCGGGCCGGAGGTGTTCGGACCCTTTTTTTTGCCTCAAATGGGTACCCCCCCTAGGAAACCGGGGTCCGCAAGCGGACGGTTCGCCAGGACCAGAGGCAGTTGAAGCCCCTCCCAGCAGGCAAAAGAGGCAAGAGAGGCCCACCCCCCCCCCCCCCCCCCCCCCCCCCCCCCCCCCCCCCCCTGCCCCCCTCCCCCCTTTCCCTCCCCACACATGGGGGTTTTGGTGGCTTTTCTTGTAGTAACGGGGGACGACGAGCCGAAGACGTCGAGAGTCCCTAACCCCAAAACCTTAAACCTTAAGCACTTCAACCCTCAAACCTTCAACAACCCCCCCCCCCCCCCCCCCCCCCCCCCCCCCCCCAACGGGGAAACCTGTCCTCTGAGATCCGGAGCCCAAAGACCCTCAACGCACGCCCTTGCCAACAGGGAGTGTGCAAGGAGATAGAACAGTCCAAACCGTGAGATACTCGACTGTGAGAATACTCGAGGGTCTCAGGGGCAGATTCCAGCAGTTTCAAAGAACGCTCTCCTTAAGTTTTGCTAAAGCCCCGCTTGCCGCGAGACCAGCCGCGCCACAGAGTGGGTCGCATTGAAGAGGACCGCCATGGCAGAACGCTTCAAACAGAAGTGGGGAAGTGTAAGGGTACAATTAGTACAAGGGCTTACAAAATCAGGCGCTTGACCTGAAGGGCTTTTGGAGTTTCAGGGCTTTCGGCTTTACCCCCCTGAAAGGCCTGCAGGTACCAAAGCACCCCACAGCTCCTCTCAGCTTTGTCTAAGCCCTGTACAGCCAAAGTCATCATAAGACTGAGGCCTTTGCACCCCTGGGCTCAGGACATCTTAGGAGTGTAGGGCTCACAGCTCAAAGAGGCGCATCTCAAAGCAGAGCCTTCCGGACTTTCAAGCTCCCGCAGCAGGATGCTTTGCCTCGTGGAGGTCTTGGGCGCAGCGGATCAGAGCTCTAAGATCCAGGCCTGCATGGAAAAGACGGTGAATGAGCCCTGTTCGCGCACAGAGGTTGAGACGGCTGATCGTTTGGAATTTGGGGTGCTGGAAGGTTTTTTTCATTACACTTTTAAGGAAGCTCAGGGTAGTATATGGCTCTCGGGGGAAGGGAAGGGGGCGGCAGCAGGAGTGTGGCATCGGCTTTTAGGTGATGGTGGGAAAGCTGGAAGCCAACCGAACAACATCGGATGTCCTCAGCATATCGGCCTTCGATCTCACAACACATCTCACGAATCCAAGCTTCGTTGGTCTCTGAGCACTGAGCACTGAGGTCTGGAATCGGACTCCAGAACCTTCAACGCCACAATCCAACCACCAACCGCGCAGTGACGGAACCTTCAGCCGAACCCCAAACAACAGACCAGACTCTCCAAACCCAAAACTCTCCAACCTTGACGGGGGGAAAGCGACCCTTGGCGCCTAAGATATCCTAGATCGAACTTGCGCAAGGCACACTGCTACTGTGCGAAATGTTTTGGTTTTCAGAACTTCTCGCTCTCAGCACATCATAGCATCCTTGAAGACTCCCTCACTCCAAGGACTACGACACCTCGCACCTTGGGTTGACCTTGCCCAATGCTCCAGACAAGCAGGCAGGACGTGGGCAGGACGTGGGCGTTCTGTGACCCAGGCATACCCAGGCCATGTCAGGAACTGCCTTGATTTTGGGTAATTTTGAGATGGTCGTGTCTCAACGACGACCACTACAAAGCCCCACAACTCCTCAAAACCTCGAACCAAAAAGCAACAATCTCCCACATCCTAAGTTGAAAGGCCGAAAGCCTTTGACGTCTCCCCCGATAAATCGACCCCAGACAAAGCCGACGTCAAAAAAACTCCTGAATGCCAAGCCTGAAGCAACTGAGCCTTCAGACGTGCGGTCCCTTCGAGAAGCCGGCAACCTGCTCGGTGAAGCCTGGCTAAAGCCTGTGCTGGAGATCATTTTGTTTGGCAGTTGGGGCATCAGGGTGTGAGGAACTGAGGGGATCCGCTCGGGTTTTGGAGTGCTTCTACAGGCTGTTTTGGCAGGGCATTCACCTTTTTCGGTTCATGGCTGGCTGCAGAGCGGATGCTGGAAGCTTGCGATGCAGATTATTCACTGGGGTAGATCCCAGAAAAGTGAAAATAACCCTCCTCCAACAAGCTACACCAAACGCCGGCCTTCGCCCCCGAGGATAGAGCCCGTCTTTCCCTTCACTCTGTCTGGCATTGGCGGCGTGACATTCCGGCGGTGAGCTGCGCAAAACTGCCAGCACAATTCAGGAGCTGGCTAAACCCCCCGCCAAGACCCGAAACCCAGCAGCCTCTCCGGCTCCTGAACACCGCTGCTAGGGAACCTTCCATGAGCCTTCCCAGCGACGTCAGCAAAGCGGAGTTGGGCGCGTGCTTTTAGGTCTGGGCGGGCTTCGGAGACCAAAGAAGACCGGAGAGATCTGGAGAGGGAGGGAGGAAGGGAGGGAGAGAGAGGGAGAGGGAGGGAGGGAGAGCGGGAGGGAGGGATTCAGGAGATGCAATTTTATCGCTAACGCGGGGCCGCCTCGGTAAGGGTACCGAGGCGGCAGGAAGCAGACAGCATGGTTGACAGGCACGTTTTTCGTGGTGGGGCGAGAAGTAGCGGGGGTAAGGGGGGGGGGGGGGTTTGGGGGGGAGTAGGGAAAAGCTTGAGGTGTAAGTTGTTTGGGGGGTCGAGGGGGGGGGGGGGGGGGGTGGGGGGGTGTGGGGGGGTGGGGGGTTGGGGGGGGGGTGGGGGGGCGGGGGCGGGGGGGTCCCAAAACAATCCAAAACGCTGGTACACGGGTACACTTCTTAGTGGTTCCCTAGACTTGGATCTAAACGCCTCAGGCCTCGGCGGACGCAGTCGCAAAGGTGAAGAAGGGGGGCGTGCGTGATTCGGTACCCAGGGCACCCCTTCCTCTCGTCCAGTTATGACATCCCCGTGCCAAGAAGCCATGAAGAGACCAAGAATTCTGGGGGGGGGGGGGGCGCGAGCAATGGGCAATGACGTAGAGAAGGGTGCAGCAAGAGCCTTGTACCACAACAACCTCAAGGGGCGAAGACACAGAGATCTTCAAGAAGGGCACCCGCGACGGGAGAATCAAGCCGACAGTCCAGTACGCTGGGAGATCCCGAACCCATGGAGACTGCACTGTGGTGGAACAACGCGGAACAACTACTACAAGGAGAGGGAAGCACCCAGCACCAGGCCAGGACGCCGATGCGAGGCCACCGAACGAACTTGTGGGAGGTCCCGTACCAGAGCGCCTGACCCACCGGAAGCACAAGAGCGCCAAACATAAGGAACGAAGGGAACCAGGAAAAAATAGACCCAGCACTCCAACCACAGCAAATGCCCGTCACCACAGTCACCACCCAACCAGACAGCAACGGAGACAAACACACGGCCGTACCCCCACAAAGGCCAACCTCACGCGACCCCAACCACGCGGGGTGCACAGGGTAGCAAGAGTGACTGGCACACGCCGAAGTGCTCCACACCCCAGCAGGGGGGTGGGGGCAGGGGGGGGGGGGGTGGGGGAGGGATTGGGGTGTGGGGGTACCGCGGGCTGGCCCCCCCCCCACCCCCACACATTCCCCGCCCCCCGAGTGCTGGGCCAGTTCCGGGGTGGTGTTTTGAATTGTGACCTCGATATGTCACTTCAAATTTTGGTTGTTTAGGGTTCGTAGGGCCTCCCTCTCCTTATGAGGGTATGATTTCAGAGCCGATTCGCCCCTGTTTCGACATTGCAGGCTTGGGGCATCCGAACGTCCGAAATGGTCTAACCAACATTCAGCCCATGCGTCCTAAGCCCTCGGGCCCAAGCCCCCCAAGAGTTTCCCACCCAAACCTCAAAAAACACCCTAACATACCTTGAAGGCTCCCAAAGCCCTAAAGGATCTTGAAATGTCTAAAGGTCAAATCTTGGCATCGCGGCAGTCAGGTTTGCTGCGCAAGGCCCCGCAGCCGCTCTTCTCCTGGCTCCGTGACCTCTGGAGTTTCTGAAAAGGGTTTAGGGTTTAGGGTTTAGGGTCTTTGGAAGCTCTGGGTTCGGTCAAAGAGGAGACTCTGTGTGGAGAGGGGGGCGGGGCGGGGGCAATTCGTAACTTCAGACTGTGAAGGGACCATTGCCTCAGAACCAGTCCTCTACTGAACTGCCTCTGAGCCGCTTGCTTATCTTGCTTCCCCCCACTCTCCGCCCATTCCGCCCCGTACAGTTCAGGTACCTGGCGGCTCCACATCCTCCCGCGGAGGCCATCAGAGGATTCGTGCTGTCCAGTTTCATGAATTTCCCGCGAATATAAATTGTCCGCCCCTTTTTGCCTCCCAGGCCCCCCCCCCCCCCATCATTTTATTGAGTTTTTAACGTTCGGGGAGGCGGTTTGAGTAAACGCCCCCCTCAGCCCTTGATGCCCTCCGCCCTTCCGTTCAACTCGACGCACACCCCCCCCCTATGTTGTTAGTATTAGTTGTTAGTATTAGAGGGGTGTTAAAGTAAAGGCGGGAGCGGATTAGGTCTTGGAATAATTCAGCCTCAGAGTTCAGGGTTCAGGGTGCAGTTGCTTTTTGTATTGAGGTCAAGATGGCTTACATCTCCGTCTTCTGCCCCAGCTCCTACCAGGACCAAAGGGAGCTGTCTTGCGGACGACCACACGCGTGCAGCGCTTGTGCTACCATAGGCCTACACAGAGCGGAACCAGTTCACATATTCCCAGCATGAACGAAAGGGAGAGGCGACTGGGCGACGGAATCCATGCTTGGCATATAAGGCCTTTAATGCCTTCTCTGTGTGTGTGTGCCCTTCGTGCACCCTTCGTGCACCCTTTGTGCCCGAAGGGTCTGAGCTCATCGAGTGCGGACATCCTTTCTGGGGGTTGTTTTGATTTGTTCTGAGAGCAGCTGCTATACTAAGATGCTGAATCAGTGCTGGCTCGAGTCGACACAGCCGCTTTTCTCCTGCGTGCTTTTCCCAAAGGCAAGGCCCCACGTAACCACTGAGGCTAAAGCCGCAGCCGTTCCAGAGTCCAGAGAAACTAAGTCTGCATGTGAAGAGGACGCGCAGCCACTCAGCCCGAGCTTTTTCTTCCCGGAGGTCGGTTTGAAGTTGGGCGGGATTTGGAGGGATTTAGGGATGATTTAGGGTGCTTGCATGGAGTCTTCAGGATGGGGAGAGGGCGGCATGCGGCAAGGATTATAAGAATTGCTTTGGAGATCCCTGCTCAAGATCGAAGCTGGGTTTGCAAAGTTCTTTGCATCTTTGCCCTTGTTCCTTCCATGGAACGTGATGATTCCACGAGGTCTTCATTGTACGGTCTTGGTCCTGCTTCTTATTGCCGGCATCAGCCGAACTTTCCAATGAGATCTGTTTTGGAAACCGCGTCCATCTGACGCAGACAAGAAGTTCCTAAAAACTCAGTCCAACAATGCCTGGCTCAGACTCTGTAAAGTTTGCGCTGTTAAATGCCCAGACAAGTTTCGGATGCCTTTGATAATTGGAGCCCTTCAACTATAAACTTTTGTAGAGTTACCAACCTTCAAGCATGAAAGGTTTCCATAGATCTTCCATGGGCCCTTTTGCCCACTGAGCCAGCTGAGCCCCTCCACTCCACCACAGGATAGGTCGTAAATCTAAAAATGAGACCCTTGTGAGGCACGTGCGTTCCGGGAGGCTGCAGTGCTCCAGTGTCTCCTGGGCGTTGTGGGCGTTGTGGATGCTGTTGGGCTTGGAAGGTCGAGAGCTTCAGGGCTTTAGCAGGCTTTAGGCTCAGGCTTCAGGTTGGGGTTTTGCTAGATTTGCTAAAGGATTTACGAGCCTTTGAGGTATCTGCGTGCGGGCTTTGCTCCAGAAGTTCGGCAGCAGCACAAGAGAGCACCCAAGGCTTAGTAGCTTCAGGGTTCAGGATGTACATCTACGGGGCAGATAAGAGAGGGACTATGCAAGATTATGCAAGCCTGGTTTTGGCGAAACGGGCGCAGCTTCAAGGCGACAACTGGAAGCTTGGAAGCTTGTCATGCGCGAGCGCGCCATCCGCAACTGCATTGGAATCGTAACGCTACACGGGGCCTTCTGGATGAAGTCCTCTTGCACTTAACATGTAGGCGGCCTTCCCATGCCAGCTTTATAGATCTTGAGGGTTTAAGGGGCCCAAGTTGGCAAGGGGCCCCCTTGCCTTCCTCGGAGTCCACAGCAACCTCGAGCTCTCAGAACCCTGGGCAGTCTGATTTATACCTCTCTCTGAACTGCAGGAACGTAGCGTGGTGGCCCACTCTCCGCAGACACCTCAGAGAGGCATCAGGTAGAAGAATTCATGTGCTTCGCAGTAGATGTTCATGGCTTCGAGTTGTGAGCTGCCCATTATTGCGTCCGTGGCGCCAAGTCGAAACTCTACTGACCAACCCCCAATTGCAAAAAGCACCCTAAGACTGGTGCATATCTCTGTCAATTGCCATAAGTGTACGGGTCGTTGTGAGAGTGAGGCCAAGACTGCCCCCACCACTGCGGCGTTCGCTCAGCCGACCCCGCCATGGTTTAGGGCTTTGGGGTGGTTTAGGGCTGAGTTTGGGGCATTCTGAGATTCTGCTTGGATTTAGTGACGTAGTGGATCTTGGTGGTGAGTTTGGTTTGTGGTGGTGTCCAGGGCTTCAAAGGGGTCCCCCCGGGCTCCACAAAGGCAAGGGTGCATCGTTTTGGTTAGAGGTCGGGTTCTGGATGCCCTGGCCCTTGGCTCGTAGATTGTAGTTATTGTAGTTCTTCAGGACTTAGATGCGCGTTCACTAGGAACATCTTGGAAATTGGTGCCGGACAGAAGCTACATGAACTGCAGACAGGTCCTGATACAACGCTCGGGTGGAGAAATATCACGAATATCAGGGCCATGCAGTCGGACTAGCCCCATGTCGTGAGTTCTTTCGCAAAAAGGAAAGGTTACGGTTGAATGACAAAATAAGAGACTCTGAGACCATCTTGAAGAAGCTCTCGATGTCGAAGCAAGGCCGATCTGTGGTCGCGGGGATGTCATGTAATTCGTCATGCAGTTGTGAACCCCTATTGTGGCTTGCACGTTTGTTGGGCATGCGGATCAAAAGAATTACTTAGGATCCAAAATATATTTATTTAGGATCAAAAAAGCTGTATTTAGGATCAAGAAATAATGATTCTATTCTTCCGACGGAGAGAGGGAGGGGGAGGGAGGGAGGGAGAGAATGAGGGAGGGAGGAAGGAAGGGCGGAAGGACGGAAGGAAGGAAGCGAGGAAGCGAGGAAGCAAGGAGAAGCAAGGCAAATTGAAGAAAGCAAGGAAGAAGCCGTGCCAGCTTGCTTCATAGCATACGCATCTTTTCGAAACCCATGCTGCGAGCATTGTGTTCGCACCCCCCCGAACCCCCCCGCTTTATTTTAAGTCGCGCCAGCTCCTTCAGCATACTTTCGAAACCCATGATGCGAACATTGAGTTTGCGCATGGGGGTGCGGGGGGGGGCCCAACCCCCCCGCTCTTTTTTAAATCGTTCTGGCTTGCTTGCATTTTTTTGAAACTTCTGATGCCAAGATGCCAGCATTGATTTGCAGCCTCTGGAAACTCTGAAATGCTGCTGTTTACAGTATTGCCAGCCTCTGAAAGCGCAGAAATGCTGCTACTTTACAGTATTTCGCAGAACTGCTTCTACATACAGTATCTGCAGCCTCTGGAAACTCAGAAATGCTGCTATTTACAGTCGTTCCTGCATCTAGACATGCTGCTATTTACAGTAGTTCGCATAAATGCTGTGGTTTTTTGTCACAAGTCGTGTCCCCTAGCCTCCGCTCCACTTGCAGCAAGCTTTCGAAGCCTTCAGTAAATTATTTTCTAAAAGATCCCAAATAAGCCCTTTTTTGACCCGCTTGTAAAGAACAAATAGATACCAATTCATTTTTTGATCCCCTACCCCGTTTGTTGGGCTGGGGGGAGCGCTTAAGGTGGCATGTTGAATCCGCATGTACCGCGCGCGCTATGTATGTATGTATGTATGTATGTATGTATGTATGTATGTATGTATGTATGTATGTATGTATGTATGTATGTATGTATGTATGTATGTATGTATGTATGTGTGTATGTGTGTATGTGTGTGTGTGTGTGTATGTGTGTATGTGTGTATGTGTGTATGTGTGTATGTGTGTATGTGTGTATGTACGTACGTACGTATGTATGTCTGTCTGTGTGTCTGTCTGTATGTATGTATGTATCTATGTATCTATATATCTATGTATCTATGCATCTATGTATCTATGTATCTGTGTATCTGTGTATCTATGTATCTATGTATCTATGTATCTATGTATCTATGTATCTATGTATCTATGTATCTATGTATCTATCTATCTATGTATCTATGTATCTATGTATCTATGTATCTATGTATCTATGTATCTATGTATCTATGTATCTATGTATCTATGTATATGTATACATGCCTCTATAGAATATATGCCGAACAGTATAAAGCTGAAACCTGTCCACATGGAGAGGGCAAGTAAACAACCTAGCTCCGGAGCCTCGCAAGTCTACGGAGCCATAAGCCTCCGAACCTGAATCCCCAATGCCCTCTTAATGCCCTCGCAGGTTTAAATGACTCTAAGACCAATCCAAGCCCCTAAACCAGGCTCAGACGATTCCTTCTGGCCCGACATGGGGGCAGACTCCTCTCTCAATGCCTTGGCGCAGGCCGCTTCAGAATGCTTCGGAACCTCAACTCGACGCCTGAACTCCGAAAACCCAGAACGGCATACCTTGACATCGAAAATCTCCAAAATGTTGCTTATACATTGAAAGTCTCTGGAAGCCCGCCTCAAATTGACCTCAGTCCATGCCGCGTCTCCGGGAGAGGCCGCCGCGGCCGCCGGCGTGGCGCTGCCGGAGACATCGGCCTCAGTTCCCAGGCGGGGCAATTATACCAGACTCGTGGGGGTGCACGTCCTCCCGAACAGCACCGTTGTGCGGGCCCAGCAAATGGCCGCGGGTGCATCCTGAGTGCTCTGCTCTGCCGCTGTGGCCCCTCGGCAGTCCGTTCTGCTTGAGCCAGGATCTCATTCTTTGGCCTCAAAACGTGGCTCTCATGATGACGACTGCCTACATGCTTGTTTGTGTTTGAAAGGAGCATTTTTGTGGAACCCACAGGAGTTCGATAGCCCGAAAGTTGTTTGAAGGCTTCGCCTGGATCGAGTGCAGGCCACACTCGGGAGTCAGGAGGGGAAGCATCATGGAGCTGCGAAGCTTAGGGCTTAGGCTTTGACATGTTTGTTCATGCTTTCGGTTTCGGTATAGGATCTAGCTAAGGAGAATGAGGCTTCACAGTATTCGCCGCACGCCGCGTAGGGAGACTACGGCTGCCGGCTTCCAGGGATTCGAAGTCTTAACCTCCATCGTCAGCCTCACCCCCCCCGCCCCCCCCGCCCCCCCATGCGCAAATGCTTTGTCCAGCAGATCTGAAGCACACTGGCAAAGCCTGGCAAAGCCTGGCGAAGCCTAAAAGCACTCCTTAAGCTCTTCAAAGCTCTTCAAAGCCTTCAGGTGCACAAGCAAGACATGAACAGCATGGGGGCGATTGGTGCATGCCCAAAATACATCTGGTAACACTTGTTCCCTATGCGTATGGAGACCCGATAAGATCTTTGAGAAACCTCCAAATAAGTAAAGCACCCCTCAGAAACGCAGTTTGCAACCATTCAAGCCAGGCCGTGCTGGCCAATCCGCAGGGCCCAAGCCTCGGCGTAGAAAGTCCCAGGACGCTTTTCAAGTGCTTCAGGAAATGGGCATCTTGTCGAACAGGCCGGATGAACTGCGGGTGTCAATCTACTTGAGACTTCATAGCCCGCAACCCCAAACCCAAACGCTACAGCTTCCGGGCCAAAATGTCATTAAGTATTCGCTTGGCGTAGGTTTGAAGGGTTGAACCCGAAGAGTTCGAGCCAACTAGACCGTTTTTCTGGAGATGGTTCCCGGCAGAGCTTGATGCCGAAATTCTGCGCAAAGCGAGCACGAGTCTGCAGGCACGAGCCTCTTCGGCGAGCTTACAGTGTATGATGCTACGGAACGCCGCTGCCTCAGCACAACTCAGGAGGCTCAACATCTCCTTCAAGGCAGTCGCTTCGTGCTTTTGTGAGCCTTCTTGCGAGCCTCTATGAGCTCTATGAGCTCTATGAGCTCTATGAGCTCTATGAGCTCTATGAGCTCTATGAGCTCTGAGCTCAGCTGTGCATTCGCCGCTCTCTTTCAGGTCGACTGTGGGATGAGTTCGACGAGCTGGGCTCTGTAGAGGATGTCCGAAGCTTATGCTAAGCCGCTAAGCTTCGGTTGAGCTGTTGGGTTTTTCACCTGGTATCTGTTGGAGAGATATCCCGAACAGTGATCGAAACAGCATCGCTGTGATCAGAAACCGACGTACAATCCTCAGCGTCAGCCTGAGCCCATCTGAGCCCCCAAAGCGCTCAACTCTCCTTGTAAACTATACTGCAATCCCCTGCAATCCCGAGACCCATGTCCTGCCCAAGCCACACCGCATACTGAAACGGGAAGCCCCAAGACACCAAAAACGCTTGGAAAGATTCCGCCGCTATTCCTGCTTCCCGCTTCCTGTGCCGGGGAGGTAGAGGCCCTTCGTCAGCGTGACGCTGCAGCGCAGCGGTGCTTGGCCGTGCCGCAGCACCCAGGGGGCGTGTTTGGCCTTGGGGTGGCGATATCGGGTTTGTGTTTGGGTTGAACGAGAGTTGCTTATGGTGCGGAGTTGTCTGGTTCGGGGATTTTGAAGAAGGGGCCCTGGTAGGATTTGCCTGGGTTGAGTCATGAGAAGTTGTCCTTCAAAATCATTCCTCCGCTTGTGTGTCTGCTCCCCTTCATGATGCTGACTGCGGAACCCGTGTCTTTTTTGTTGCTGCGGCCCACGGTCACAGCGAAAAAAGGAGCCTCGCGTCACAGCCAAAATGTGAATTGATTAGGCTGCCTGCCAAGCAGTGACACCACGCACCCAGCAACATGCGACTCTGTGCTGCGCGATGCTGCGCGGCTGCGACACAGCTCCCGTGGAAACAGAAGAACGGCAGTCAGCAGCTAAGAGTGTTTCGCTTTTTGTTGTTGCGTTTTTTTGCTTTTGCTGCGAGGCGGGTTTGTTTTGTTGCTGTTGCTGCAGGCCACGGCGCGGGCTCACTCGCTCAGTCCGTCACTTGCTCACTCGCGCGCGGGCTTTTGTTGTTCCACTCTGGCGGGGGGGGGGGTGAGGCACGTTTGTGTTTTTTTCTGCGGGGCACATGTTTGTTGCGGGGCACTTGTATTGTTGCTGTTGCTGTGGAGACATCAGTATGGCCATGACGCTTCTACAGCTTGTAACTCCGTCGTACTCTTTAACGCGGCTGTGGGGCTTGTCGAGTCAATCCAGTCACTTGTACTGTACCTGCGCCAGGGCTCAGTGTGGCCCGCAAGTGATGGGTTTCGGGTCTCAGGTTGGACAAAGAGATCGATGCGGCAGGCACGCACCGAACCTACAGATACTCGAAGTTCTCCGTCCGGAGTCTGGAATGGCACTTGGGACCCGTTGACACCCTTCCAACGCACATCCTCCCAGCGAATTCTGGAGACTGCACGGAAAGATTCCGCCCCTCGGCGCTGACAGCGCCCTGCTCCCGCATCCCAAACCCTAAAACCCTTGTAGATTCAGCCCCAAAGCAAGCCAAGTCCTGTCAACGCAAATCATGCAGAAGCTTCTATGTTCTCTGCTCGTCACGTCAGCTTCGAATCCCATTCTGGAAGCTTGCGTGCTGTACCCGACAAGCTCGAAAGCGTGTAGAACCCCTTAAGCCCCAAACGATAGCTTAGATCGATCGTCCTTCAAGCAACAGGGCGTGCCGGGAGGGAGCTGCCCTCGGCCTTGGCCGAGGCACTGCAACTGCGGGTTTTGATTCAGAATGGAGGATAGCTTCTAACTCATTTGGTGGCCATTTGCGGCATTTGCGGTTTAGCTTCCAGGACTGCCGATCTTGGAGCCTTGTCGCACGAACAGGATTAGAATTAGCACGAGATCAGCCCCGGAGAAAGCCTTAAATTTCGCCGCCCCTCATATGTTGCAAGCCATGCAGAGCCCCAGACCCTTTGTTTGAAAGCCACGCCTACAAACACGGCAAACCACAAGACACAGCGGAAGACTGTTCAGGCCCGAGCAAAGTTCTCGAGCCTTTGCGAGCTCGTGGCGCAAGGCAGGGAGACCGAAAGAGAGAGGGAGAGAGAGAACGGGGAAAGCGAGCATACCACTAAGCCATGACGCTTCTTGATGAACCACAAGCACAAGTCGACGCAGGCATCCACAGGGAGCACCTGGCTGGGATACTAGAACAAGTGGTGACACGAGCACACACAGCCCGTGAACCCGACCACCGACGACGCCGAGCACACGACGGGGCGAGCAGCGATTGATGCTCTGAGATGCTCTGAGAGGGCAGTAACGCACTAAAGGTCCCAAAATCCACCTGGCCCTGTGATGTTACCATTGCTTTCCAGGCCATAACTCATTGTACCGGGAACCACCCCGAAACTCAAATCCCGCATGAAGGCCACCGCAGAACTGTACATTGCAATAGTGTAAGCCCCACAGCCGGTGATACATGTTATCGTAGCTTGGGCCCATAACCGGGGATACACATCAACCACGGTGGTCACACACATGCACAGTGTTGAGTCTCACACAACAGTCACGGTGAAGCACTCCCATTTCGTGCAGTCCCCAATCGTCGTGGCAAAGCATTTCGCCACGGACAAAACAGCTGTCCATCTCTTGGGGTGGGGCCAATGAGCCTCGGAAGGGGACACCGCATTTTTCCCCTTCAAAGGTCATGGATAGATGCACCTCCAACTTGCTCCCCTGGTATGCCCAACCTTCACCACACCCCTATGTCACATGGACTGATTCGGTATGGAGCATGCACCTTTCGGGAGGTCATGCGCGCTCAAGCAAGCAAGCGAGAGAGAGAGAGAGTGAGAGAGAGAGAGAGGGAGATGGATGGAAGTTTAAACTCGTGCATGCAGCCGAGCATCCTGTTATTTCAGAGAGCAGTTGCAATCTGAAAATCTGACATCTGACACAAACATACACTGGAGTGATAAGTCAAACCATCATGGCTGGGTTCCTAAAGCTTCCGACACCTCCCAGTCCCAAACCTCAAAAACCTCAAACAAAGGCTTTCAAAAGCAGTTGCCGGTGGCATCCATCAGCACCTTCTACCCCACCCTTCAAGCCCCCTAAGATGCCCTACGCCGCTATGCCTCTCCAATTTGCTGAGCATGAGCACCACCTCACGCGATCTTGCCAACGACGGCTTGCGTGGGGGTTTAGGAGAAGAAAGGGAGCCAGGCTCTACTGCAGACCACGCCGGGAGTTTAAGGAAGGCCTTCAAAAGGTTCATATCAGTGGCTTTTGTGCAATTTGAGTTCCAAAGTTCCTGTGGAGGTGCCCCAGCAGCAGCGGGGCGGGGCATCGCCGCGGCCGAGCTCGCCTTCGCCGCGGCCGAGGAGGGCTGCTGTTTGCGATCTTCTGCGATGGTCTACGGCTCCACAAAGCGGGGAGGGGGTGTCTGTTGTTCTTATAAGAGGCCAAAAGTACAACGCAACCGGGCAGCCAGCTCAAGAAGCTGGACACTAAACCCAAGCACATATTAACATACACTAACCACAGAAAGTACTTTCACGAGACCCAACAATTCAAAAACTGCGGAGCGAAGGAAGAGTTCATCGAGGCTTCCTCGTCCCACCGGCGGGCTCTTGTTCGCACGGCCCTCACATGCCCCTCAAGGCTTCAAGGGGGCAAACCTCAGGACAACTTAGTAATCGAGGTCGCGACCAGACCTCGACCAGGCCGAGTTTCCCAACCTTAGGTTTGGCAACCAGGGTTCGGCACAATCTTACATTTTCCCTCTGGCTCATCTTTTCCAGAGCCTTTCCTCGTTTCTTCTTCGTCCCGGCGCCCCAAACCAGCCCTGAGAAGACTACTAACCGTTTCTAACCGTTATACGAACCACTCATTTCAATTAGATTCAATTACACCCGAGGCAGTCGGCGGCAGGGTGGGCCTGCACCCTCTGACGAGGCCTTTGAGTGATTAGATCTGGGCTCAGGGCTTCTCCATGTTGTGTTTTTGGTCAAAGCCGCCTTTACATCCGGGATGATGGTTGAGTCGGTTACACGTG